TGTGTTCACCCTACCAATCCTTCAACACCTTAGACAAAATAATCTCTGACATCTACTCATTTGCGAAAAAAGTAGTGTCGTCGATTGATATAGCAAATATAAGTTTGCTTCATCGACAATCCCAACACAGAATGTGATATGGAAACTGCCTGACATTCCTTGAAATTGACATCTGCCCTGTCACCCAAGTGCACTCGTGGCAATGTGGCCGAGTGGTTAACATGTCGAGATTACACACTGAACTGTCATGATTCGACTTCCGCTTGGGATGTTGGTAAAACCTATGCGAGGTCGGAACTGAAGTCCACCTCAGCCTGGATGTGAACACCTTTTGGGAAAGCAAGGCCATGTGCAATTGAATGGAATACATCAGCTCTACTCATGTTATTGTGGAAAAGTCAACTGCATCACCATGAACGAAATAGGGTGAACACAACTCATAAATTGTGGCATGGCTTTCTATTTCAAATGGGAAGTTGGTTGGACGTAATTCGTGAAATGACCGTATCGGAAAGCAAAAGAGGATTGTCGCAGAAGAGTGCAGACTATTCGATTGTGCAAACAGGGCCTAGCCTCACCGTCCTGCCAATCCGGTCAACCTGAGCTGAGCCTTTGTCTGGCCATGGTGAAGGACATGTACAATCATGTCACATCTTTTGAACCCAATTTTTCTTCGCAGGCGACTGATTGGTTCCAATACGGTGTGGTTTTGTGTTAGTTCGGAGTCTTCTTTTGCTCTAGATTATTGGTTTGACCTCGAAGAATGTACGCGGATTTTTCCTTAAAACCAGCAGACACAAGTTGCTTGGCCGACTTGTTTGTCCTACTGTTACTCTTAGCGATACAATAAGACAAAGGGCTATTTCGAATGTTATATACAAAAATTGAGTGGGCTCGAATAAAATTTTGGCAATTATGATGTTGTTAGGGGGAACTTCATTTCGAATGAAAGTACATGATGAAGAGATTCGTCTGTCGTTCTCACCAGATGAGGACGGATGAAAATCGTTGTACTGCA